TGAGTTAAGATATGTTCAACCCCTAACCAAGTTTCTTTTATATTGTTAAGAGTGCTGTAAACACTAGGCACTCCTGTAGATGAAAAAGAACTCGGCAAAGTTGTAGGATTAAAACCATAATTAATAAAAAAGGGACTATGTTGAGTGGATTCGTGCATCAGATTATTATGGGCGAATTCAGCCCATGGAAGCAGTTCCACCCAATCGTCTTGGTGCTCAGAAGTGAAACAGCGGATGTATTGTTCCAGGCATTGATTCATCCTTTCCGTAACCCCATTAGATTGGAGATGGTAAGAAGAAGAAAGGTTAATACCTAATTGGTCACAAAATGCCCTCCAGAACCGTGAAATGAACTGTGGACCCCTGTCAGAAGTAATATCTTGAGGTATGCCATGTAAACGTACTACCTCTTTTATAAATAAAGAGGCCAGTTCAGAAGAGGAAGGCAATTTGATTAGTGGGATGAGATGAGTCATCTTAGAGAATCTGTCGATTATAGACAATATAACCCCATGATTCCTCGAGGGAGGAAGGTCCACTACAAAATCCATAGCAATACTTGACCAGGGTTTATTGGGAATGGACAATGGCAAAAGGAGGCCCAAAAGACGACCTTTGGATGATTTCGTGGAGGCACAGACCCTACAAGCAAGAATGAACTCGTGAACGTCCTTCTTGTATGAAGGCCACCAAAACTGTTAAAGACTCAGTTTTGTGAATGCCTGGATGCCCTGCCAATTTGAAGTTGTGTACAAGAAATAAGACCTTTTTTCTATAAGCCAAGGGTACGTATAATTTTCCCCTGGGAAGAGTCAATGAGGTCTGATCCTGAAACCTAGATAATTCCTCCATTAACCCTGAAGAGATTTTGGCATGGATGGTGGCGATTATGTGGTTGGATGGGATTATGGAAGAAAAATGAGTTACTGTAGGTGATAAGTGTTCATGTTGACGGGATAAGGCGTCAGCCTTAGTGTTCTTTGATCCTGGTCTGTAAGTTACTATATAATTGAATTGTGTTAAAAATAAAGACCATCGAATCTGCCTGTCTGACATTCTTTTAGTTTCTCCAAAATACGAAAGGTTTTTGTGATCCGTAAGGATGGTGATAGGAATGGTTGACCCTTCTAACAGATGGCACCACTCCTTGAGAGCAGAGATAATAGCCAATAATTCCCTGTCCCCAATGTCATATCTCTTTTCTGTCTCAGTTAATTTCTTAGAAAAAAATCCACAGGGATGCAATGGTTGATCATCAGATGGACGTTGAGATAGCACCGCTCCAATACCGGTTTCAGATGCATCCACCTCTAATATAAAAGGATGTGAGGGATTGGGATGTCTCAACACCGGCGCAGAAGAAAAAGCCAATTAAAGTCTCTCAAAAGCATCCTTGGCCTCGAGATTCCATTCCATCGAATTCCGTCCTTTTTTGGTCATGGCAGTGATAGGTGCAGTGATAGAGGAGAAACCCATAATAAATTTTCTATAATAATTGGCAAATCCTAGAAAACATTGGATGGCTTTGAGTCCAACGGGCAGGGGCCAATTAAGGATAGCTTCTAGTTTTTTCTTATCCATTTGAAATCCAGACCCTGAAATTATATAGCCCAGAAAATGCACAGTGTCCTTATCAAATTGACATTTCTCCAACTTACAGTAAAGTCAATTTTCTAAGAGTTTAGAAAGAACCAACCTAACGTGAGTATGGTGGTCTTTAATATTCTTGGAGTAGATTAGAATATCGTCTAAGTAGACAATAACAAACAGCTGTAAATATTCCCTTAAAACATCATTAATGAAGTCTTGAAAGACTGCTGGGGCATTACATAACCCGAATGGCATGACCCGATACTCGTAGTGACCATAGCGAGTATTAAAAGCAGTCTTCCATTCGTGCCCTTTTTTAATCCTGACTAGATTGTATGCTCCCCTCAGATCCAATTTCGTAAAAATAGTCGCCCCTTTTAATCTATCGAAAAGTTCTGTAATTAAAGGAATAGGATAGGCGTTACGTATAGTTATTTTGTTTAAACCCCGTTAATCGATACAGGGTCTTAAGTCCCCTTCTTTCTTGGAAACAAAAAAAAAAACAGTGCCAGATGGGGAGGAAGATTTAGTAATAAATCCCTTTCTTAATTTTCCTGTGATATATTCTTCTAGTACCTTATTCTCGGCTACCGAGAGAGGGTAAACTGTGCCTCTAGGGGGCATAGTGCCGGGTAATAAGTCAATGGGACAGTCATAGGACCAGTGTGGGGGTAATTTTTCTGCCTCTCGTGGTTCAAAAACCGCTTTCAAATCCCAATATTGTCTGGGTATCTGAGTGGTTAAAGGTTCCATAGTAAGTACATTAAGTAGACCTACGTGTTTAATAGGAGTAATACACTTTCTGCGGCAAGTCTCACTCCATTTTACAATTTCTTTTTTCTCCCAATCTATAGAAGGGTTATGTTTAGAGAGCCAAGGAAAGCCAAGAATAACAGGAAAAATGGGAGAAGTGACCTGTTGCAGGATTATAACCTCCCTATGCAGGGAACCTACGGACAATTCCACTGGAAGAGTCTCTTCCCTGGAGGATCAAAAGTCCTCCTAAAAGCCGCAACAAATTCTACATAGTTAAACACTATCGGGTTGTCGTTCTCCCATAGAGGATTTGCCCAAATTAACACCCTATCAATCAATAAGGTGATGATGTAACCTATTTTTGCCCTATCTGTAGGGTATGCTCTTGGATGAAGCTCAAAATAAATACTAACTTGGTTCAAAAAACCTCAGCAACCTTTAGGATCACCCCCGTAATGGAGATGGGAGGTAGCATGATTGGGAGTACCCATAGTAACCATTTCCATAGGTTGTTCCTGAGGTCTGAGTACTGGGATTTGCTCCTCCGGTTGGAGATGGGCAGTACGTGCTAGCAAAGTTTGTACTGCAATAGCGAACTGGTCCATGCGATGGTCCAATTCTTCAAACCGGTCATCAGGTTAACAGGGTTAACACCTGCAGGGTCCATGGCCCTAGTGTAATGTCACGACAGTGACCAATGTCACAACAGTGACCCCTTCACACAGCGTGAAACCCACAGAAAGACGGTTACCGGACCTTAGAATGGCCGGACTAGCGTCTGAGAATAGTTAAAGGAATAGCCAGAGGTCAAGGGAATATGGAAGACGGGCACACGATTATCCAAGCCAAGTAACGGGAAACCAGAAAACAGAATAGTCGGAGAGATAGCCAAGGGTCAAATACCAAGAAGGACAAGCAGAGATAATAGCACCAGGGGACTTTAAACAAGAACCACACTAGGGCATCTGACAAGTGTCATGATAGCCCTTTTATAGTGTGGGTTCTTTGGCTTTAATTTTGAAGCCACGCCCCCAAAATGTCCGGGAGCGTGGCCACGTTTGAATTTTGGCAGCATTTTCTTTCTGACGTCGGCGCGCATGCGCCGCGTCATAAAGGTGGGCGTGTTCCGAGCGGCCGGCGTCAGAAGAGCTGAGCCGCCCCCCGGAAGTATTGGAGGAGGACCCGGCGCTGTGCGGGACCGGCGGGGAAAGGTAAGCGCTCGTTACAGTCTCTTTCTGTATCCCCGATGTTGGCTAGTATTCTGACTATTCTCTGGTACATTTAGTCCGGCCATTCTAAGGCCCAGTAAGACGTTACCTATTAGTCTTAGAGGTGATACAATTCTACGTACTGGATCAGCTAGTTATCCTGGCATTACAACATCGCCATAGATCCTGTAGAATTGTGTCAGCACACAGCAGCTTGCAAAAGAAAGCTACAGGAGAATGATCACTGTATGGATCATTTTGCACAGGCTTTCAGTATGCTTCTTACCCGAACAGTGCACCTACAACCTGAGGCTTCTCTGACTATGTCTCCTTCGCCTAATGTACCTCCACATACAGTACACAAGGCAATGATTACTATCTCCCTATGTCCTCCTCTGCATTTTGATGGGAATAGTCAAGAATGCCGGGGGTTTCTGAACCAAATTGAGTATCATTTTGAGGCCTCACCAGGATATTTTCCCTCAGATAGAGCTAAGATTGGTTACCTAATGAACCAACATAAAGCTAAAGCCTTAGCTTGAGCCAATCTGTTGTGAGAGAGTAATAGGAGCATTGCACTCAATTACCATGAATTCCTTGCAGAATTCAAATTAACATTTGAACCATTGGGCAGGGATGATGACGTCTCTACTGCTCTAATGCATATAAAACAAGGGAACCGGTTTATCTCAGATTATGTCATAGAATTTCGCACTTTGGCTTCTGAGGTAAACTGGACTAACAGTGGGTTAATCTCTGCATTTAAAAAAGGATTATCTGGGGGCAGAGTTTGACGGCTGAACCTTGCAGAAGCAGGGTAGATGGGCTCCGTGGCTGCCCAATGCAAAATAGTGTTTTTCAGCTACCCAAACGCAAAGTGCATACGGCCCCAAAATGGCTTTTCTGACTCCTCAAGGGATTTCTACCCAGAAGAGGCCACTAGCAACCTACCTCCAGCAAGACCCCAACAACCGGCACCGAGCCCAGAGGACACGGAACCGGTACCTGCGACACTGTTAAAGACCCTGCTGGGAGAGTAGTAGAAGACCCTCCAGACTAATGTCGCACAGCTGCGCACAGACCTCATGGGCCTGGTGAGCCACATCGACACGGTCGAAGCAACCTTCACGCGGCAAACGCGAGACATCACGGAGCTTAGGCAGGAAATGCAGGCACTCAAACAACAGCAAGCCAAGACTGAGCAACGTTTCACGGCAATGGAAGATGTCAGGTGCCGCAATAGTTTAAAAATCCGCTGACTCCCGGGAATATATCCCCGCAGAGGAAATCCCACATCTCTTAAGGCGGCTCACATGAGCTTTACTGGTACCCAAACAAGCCAGAAATATCAGCTTTGAGGCAGCCTTTTGGATCCCAAAACCCCGGAGAGCTCCGGAGGCAGCCCCCCAAGAACTCATGGTGGAGATAAAAAGCTTGGCCAACAAGATGGCGGTCCTCGCAGCCCTGAATGGGTCTGCCACCTACAGCTTCGAATCCATGAACCTGTCCTTTTATGCAGACCTGTGGGACGAAACCCTGCAGTGGCACAGGTCCCTACAACCTTTTACCACACTGCTTCGAGACCAACATATTAATTATCACTGGCGCACAACGCGCACACTGCAGATACAGCATGACAACCAGGCCTACTCCATCATGGACATCTGAGAAGCCACCGCCTTGCTGCGCCCACTTGGACGTCCACTGGGGGGGCTGCCACGTATCGCTGTGCCAGAACCACCCGCAGCTACACCAAGATGGGAGCCAGTGAGAACCGTTCCCTTCATCCCATGGGGAACAGGGAAAAACGCGTACATAGATGCTACTACATGAAGGCCGAAAGCCCATACCGAAACAATCTTTTTCAATGAAGGACATTACACATCAGGTTTGAAGCTCTGTTTAAACATTGTTATTTTTTAAATCTAGTGGTCGACAACCTTATCTATCAGTCAGCCGCCAAACTAATACATGCCCTCTTCTGATTCTGAACCCACCTGACCCACCCATGCACAAGCAATGCCTCACCTCGAGACTCTCAGCCCACAAGCCACCACTCCACGCACTAAGATCAACCTGCAGGTCGCAGTTCATTCTGCACTCGCCTAAAGAGGACGTTACAATTCTAGCGAATGTTCTTATGTCTAGTGTTTTTATCTTTGTTCTTCACCTGACTATTAGAGTATGCGGGAGATGGGTGGGTGGCGGGATTAGCTACTGATGGAGGTACGTTTCCACGCATATCTTCCTGCCTAAGAATAGCCGAGGTGCTTCCCTCTAGTCAAGAAGCATTCCATCCTGGCGGAGCATGTTATTATTATTAGTATCAGTTTTTTATTATTAGTTTTTTTAACTCTGTTAAGCGAGTCTATTTAATCTCCTTCACATATAAAGGCACCGTAACTTTCATCAGAGTAAGAACTCTGAGTAAGCCCCACGGAAGCAATACCCTCCCTGCTTCTTACAGCACTAGTACATAAATATATATGAAGTGAAATCTATTACGATGTATTGAGGTTATTGATCACGTTTAATTTCACTCATAGGCCTCCTCGCTAGGCAAGTACTATAACTGTTTTGTCTCCTGTTATTAATGTCTATATAAGTATGCTTCAGGTTAATAATGAGACATATAAGCGAGCGTATAATATTTAACTGTTCGCAGCCTGAGGACCCTTAGAAGCTAATTATCTTTATACTCTCTGTGTGCTACCCTTACTTTGTGATTACAGATTGTAACACTCAGACCTGCATACCCTGGCAGACCGATACCCGAGCATTAATGTTATAAAATTGTGTAGACCTTATCCTTGCCATGTTTGAAAATGTCAGATGATATTATGCTTGTGATTGCTGTTGTGGCAACATGGGCACGTATGTTATAACTTGTACAACAAAAATAACGAATAATAAAAAAGGATTATCTGAGACAATATTGTATGAGATTGCTGCCAAATAACTACCTAAAAAACTAAATGACTTTATCACATTTGTCATGCAAATTGATAATAGAATTAGAACCAGAGAAACGACCAGAAATAAAACCAGACGTATGGCTATGCCTTTAGCAGGGCCGGACTGGCCCACCGGGATAACAGGAAATTTACTGGTGGGCCATCAGCACCTGGGGCCGGACAGAGAACTGGCTGACCAGTGGCCGCAGGGGGGAGCTGGCTCCTGGCTGTTACGGTGGCCGCAGGGGGAGCTGGCTGTGCTGGCTCTGCGCCCCGCCCGCGCGCGATACTTAACAAGACAGGGGCCAGAATATCCGGTTTTCATTAAGCTGCGCGCTGGGGAGCAGAGCCAGCACAGCTAGCTCCCCCCTGCAGCCGCCGGAACAGCCAGGAGCCAGCTCCCCCCTGCGCCCACCGGAACAGCTAGCTCCCCCCTGCAGCCGCCGGAACAGCCATGAGCCAGCTCCCCCTGCGCCCGCCAGCACACCTGACCCAGCTGCCTGCCCTGCAAGACTCCTGTCCAGTCGCCCACAGGTAGCTATATTATGTGTCAGTCTGTCAAAGTGTGTGTGTGTGTGTGTGTCTGTGCCATGGTGTTTGTGTGTGTCATGGTCTGTGTCTGTCTGTCATGGTGTGTGTCTGTGTCATGATGTGTGTGTGTGTGTCTGTCTGTGTCATGGTGTGTGTGTGTGTGTCTGTGTCAAGTTGTATGTGTCATGGTCTGTCTGTGTCATGGTGTGTGTCTGTGTCATGGTGTGTGTGTCTGTCTGTGTCATGGTGTGTGTGTGTGTCATGGTGTATGTGTCTGTGTCATGGTGTGTGTCTGTCAAGGTGTGTGTGCCTGTCATGGTATGTGTGTGGAACAGTACAAACCCGAACCCATGCAGTTGGGGGTCACTAGACTGTCAGAAGCAGAAAGACAATATAGGAGAAAAGTGTGTCTATGGCAAAACTGTGGTAGAAAAGGACATGTGAGGAGTTCTTGTCCCATACGTCCGTAAAACTTCCGCACCTAAGAACCCTAAGGGGACAGGTTTTAGGTGTGATGGATTTGAATAACAAAAATAGATTCCTACTCGAGATTACGGCCAAATGTGATAAGAATGAGTTTTTATGCAAAGCCCTGATAGACATTTCTGCTTCTGGTTTTCCGATCGATCCTCATACACTGGAAGCTGTTCTACATTGGCCATTGCGCAATGGAGTAAAAGCCATTCAAAGGTTCATTGGGTTTGCCAATTACTACAAAGGGTTCTCTTATGTAATAGCCCATGTCACCAATACGATACGCAAGGGTGCTAACAGTACAACATGGGCTAAAGACACTAAAGAGGCATTTTAACTTTTTAAACAAAGTTTGCTTCTGCAGATATATTGATACACCCTTACAGCAGCAAACCCTGCATACTGGGGGTTGATGCCTCTGAAACTGGGGTAGAGGCTGTTCTCTCTCAGAGGGAGAGTCAAGACACCTTTGCATCTGTTACTGAAGTTCCCTCTGTCTGCTACAAACTTTGCTACTATTTCTGTTACTTTTGTTCGAACAGCTATTGCAGGCCATTTGTGTGTACGAATGGCTGAACACCCGGCCCCTGGCGTGTGCCACCAATTAACCCCGTTCACCTCTCAAACTACCAAACAAACTGTCGAATGGACGACCACCCTACCTGAGAAGTGTGCCTACAATCAACCACCCAGGAGCTGCAGTTTTGTGGTTAACCACAGCCTAATTGGTTGTCATCGGGGTGGTTACCGTTCGTATGAGAGGGTCGAACGGGGCACCGAACAGAATTTCGAACTAACTACCGAACGACCGACCACCCTACTTGCGGCGTGTGCCCCAGTTAACCACCCTGAAGCTGCGGTTTGTGGTTAACTGCAACATAATTGACCATTGCGAGTGTGGTCATCGTTCATATGCATGAACACGTGGAGGCCGCCATCTTTTGTTGTTGAACGCCCAGTGGGACCCCGTCATCAAATGCCTGGTATCAAACACTATTTTGCACGAACCCCGCTGGGACCAACCTTGCCCCATCCGTTTGTGTATACAACACCAAAAGGCATGGTTTTCGACAATTTATCTCCACGAAGGTTATACCAACCCCTTACAAGACACCATGGCCGAGGATACATGGGCTGCTAATTGTCGAAAAGCCCTACAGACAATTTTCATCCCCATGGCATTTGCATACCATTAGAGGTATATGAACGCTTTTCGAATATTTTGTGCGCTCAGATCCAAGCCATCTGAGGATGGGTTGAATGTGATATTTAAAGTCTATAGTGTAAAACGTATACATTTTTATTCAGTTTTCGTGTGTCTGTAGAAATATTATTATTTCATGTACCTGGAAATAATTGAGTTACTGTAACCGTTGAGACCAATTATCTCCAGGGTAGTGATGTCGCGAACCTGAAATTTTCGGTTCGCGAACGCGAACTTCCGCAAATGTTCGCGAACCGGCGAACCGGGCGAACCGCCATAGACGTCAATGGGCAGGCGAATTTTAAAACACACAGGGACTCTTTCTGGCCACAATAGTGATGGAAACGTTGTTTCAAGGGGACTAACACCTGGACTGTGGCATGACGGAGGGGGATCCATGGCAAAACTCCCATGGAAAATTACACAGTTGATGCAGAGTCTGATCTTAATCCATAAAGGGCATAAATCACCTAACATTCCTAAATCACAATAGATATGGATTGACACCTGACATATGACATATTGACACCTTGACATATGGATTGACACCTGTCCTCAGAGACCCTGATACACACTGACACAGAGCAGAATAGGGACTGTTCCCCCTACATAGGGTCACTTGGCAGATATGGATTGACACCTGTCTTCAGAGATCATGATACACACTGACACAGAGCAGAATAGAGACTGTTCCCCTACATAGGGTCACTTGGCAGATATGGATTGACACCTGTCCTAAGGATCCCTGATACACACTGACACAGAGCAGAATAGAGACTGTTCCTCCTACATAGGGTCACTTAGCAGATATGGATTGACACCTGTCCTCAGAGCCCCTGATACACACTGACACAGAGAAGAATAGAGACTGTTCCTCCTACATAGGGTCACTTGGCAGATATGGATTGACACCTGTCCTCAGAGCCCCTGATACACACTGACACAGAGCAGAATAGAGACTGTTCCCCCTACATAGGGTCACTTGGCAGATATGGATTGACACCTGTCCTCAGAGCCCCTGATACACACTGACACAGAGCAGAATAGAGACTGTTCCTCCTACATAGGGTCACTTGGCAGATATGGATTGACACCTGTCCTCAGAGATCATGATACACACTGACACAGAGCAGAATAGAGACTGTTCCTTCTACATAGGGTCACTTGGCAGATATGGATTGACACCTGTCCTCAGAGACCATGATACACACTGACACAGAGCAGAATAGAGACTGTTCCCCCTACATAGGGTCACTTGGCAGATATGGATTGACACCTGTCCTAAGGATCCCTGATACACAATGACACAGAGCAGAATAGGGACTGTTCCTCCTACATAGGGTCACTTGGCAGATATGGATTGACACCTGTCCTCAGAGACCATGATACACACTGACACAGAGCAGAATAGAGACTGTTCCCCCTACATAGGGTCACTTGGCAGATATGGATTGACACCTGTCCTCAGGAACCATGATACACACTGACACAGAGCAGAATAGAGA